GCTTTCAATTTTAAAAATTTAGGAAAGAAAAAATTCCCCTCCCCCCCCCCTTCATAAATAATGACCGGTCCCTTACTGTATTCTGTGTCTGTGCTGCACAATGTTGACTCAACTATATGTATAAATCTTTTTTTGTAATTTTGTAAGGATTGCAATACATGGGAGGTCCATGTCTAGTTCATATTTAACTTTGGAAAGTGTAATGTACGAGTCAAATCCAACCGAGATCAGCCCCTCCCCCCGGGCAACCCCAGGGAATTTGACTTAACATTTCCTCCGTATAGGCGGGAATTTGACGGCCCGGTCGGGCATTTGACAGCCCCGTCGGGCATTTGACCACCTGACAACAACTTGCTCAGCGGTTTTCCCTAAAAATATGTGTATACACTCTAGCATTCAGGAGTTTTCTATTTTACGTCTTTTCGATAGTTTAAAAATTGCTTCTGAATCACAAATATCAATCATAGATATATGATACAATATGCCCGGTTGAACAAAAAGAAGAACTGTCTGGCCTATTTTTCGTTCTTTTTCATCTTGAAATACTTGTTCAATTTAATTTTGGCCAAAATTCCAGAACCAGGACTACCCCTATAGCAGGGCATTTGACTGTGATTTCTGCCTGCTTGGGCGGGCATTTGACCAATTATTTTTTCCAAAGTCAAATTCCCCCGGGGGTTGCCCGGGGGGGGGGGGGCCTGATCGCGGTTGGATTTGACTTGTACATAAGGATGGTTTGGAACGCATTGATCGTGTGTTGTAATTTTGTATTGTAGCTTTGTTAAAGTTGTAACCCTGTCTCTATTGTTTTACAATGTCAATGTAATATGTAGGTAGGACTTAATTTGGGACTCCACAGTCCTGTTGTCTGTACCTTCAATCGTTTTGTTGATTGTAAAGTTTTAAAAAAATAATAATAATAATAATAGCTAGAGTCATGAGGAACATGATAATAAATACATGAGAAAAACCCAACTCTATGCTGTCAACATAAGGTTACTTTGAACAGGATAGGAATGTGCTTATTCATGTAACAGGTTTATATGCAATTTCAAATCCAATCAGGGCAACTTTTTAAAATTAATGTTATAGGAGCAGCAACCCTTTCCAGCCAAACATCTACAGTTCCCAAACATATTTTTAACATGAACTATTTAATTAACAAACCACTGCACTGAATGAATGCTTGTGTGCTGTTGACTCATCCAGTAATTTAGACAATATTAGTCAATTCAGTGACAATAAAAACAAATAACATAATGCTGCAGGTGTGCTCGCCCTGTAGTCTCTCCCTAACAAGTGGGAGAAGTAGTTGGGGGAGAAAGAACTGGTGGCGGCGGGGTAGACTATAGGTGTGTGGGCAGCATGGTTAACTACATTGCCTATAGTATTATTAACCCCACATAAAAGCTGCCCATCAACACACAACACATTTCTTTGACAAGAAAGTTCATCACCTGTAAGACAGAATACAATTATAACAATATAAGCTGCTTAGGAGCACATCAAGTAGTTAACAATCTTATGTTTAAGGTGTTTAATCTCTTTGTCTGTTATAGAGCTCCTCCCCTGATGACCCTGGAAGATTTAAGAACTCAGATAAAAGAACAACTAAGTGGTGGAGATATATTGCCTCATGAATATGTCTTTCTTCGTGCTGTTGGTCGATGTCTAGCCATAGTAATAATATTCAATACGTTTCCATATAAACATAATCTACACATAAAAAGTGCCCACCGCCTTAAATTTTCATACTAACTTTAAAAGGGGAGCATTTATTAGGCATTCAATCCATGGAGTAGCGAGATTTATTCTAATTATACTTTAATGACAATTTGTACTCTTTACCTTTCTTGTTCAATGGCATACAATGCATTCCATCAAATTAATTAACAATTATTCGCCGAAGGCGAGGTGATTATCGGTGAATAAAAACCGAGACGAAGTCGAGGTTTTTATTCACGATAATTACCGAGCCTGAGGTGAATAATTGTTTTAGTATAATTTCATAGGTGATTATTTGGAAAAAAATAAGAAAATACACATTTCTTCGTCATTTAATTGACAAAAAGGCTTCGGCCGCCATTTTGAAAATCGCTTAGGTGATTATCGCGTAATAATCACCTCAACGGCAACCAATCAGCGTGGAGAATTTTCAATAATCACCTATGTAATTATACCATTGAACTATAAATAAACTGGAAGGCTAACTGCTATGATGGGGGCCTATGATTTGATGAAGCCAAAATAGTTTTTCTGAGTTATGAGCAGAAATACTTGACCCCAAACGTCGTGCTATATATCAAATTGAAGCTATTGAAAATTGCTATTCGGTGTGGAAATTTCAAGACTTCAGCGAAAAGAAAAATATTTAAAAAATACAAAAACAACTGCAAAATGGCAAATTATCGGTAATTATGTTTGTAGTTTTTCAATATTTCCCTTTTAGCTAAAGTCTTGAAATTTCTACACCAAATAGTGTTTTTCAATAGCTTCAATTTGATATATAGCCCAATGTTCAGTGTTGAGTATTTCTGCTCATAACTCAGAAAAACTAAAATGCACTGGCTTCAATTTCCCCCCCTGAGTTAGCCTTCCAGTTTATTTATAGTTCAATGAATTATACTAATTGTGATTAGTGTAGTTTAATTAAAAAGCAATATGTCAGCTTGATGGACTTTTAGTTCACATTGCATAACTATAACATACGTACCATCTTTAACTCATTGACATTGCAGTCCACAGTCCACTTAAATCAAATGCATGTAAAGGCTAAAACTGTGAACCTGGGGCTGGAGAGGGGGTACAGGTAAACTCAATTATCATTCACTTTATAGTATTCTCAATTTTGATTGGTTAATTTACCTGCAAATAACTGCGTGCAAATAATAGTCTGATTATTAGCATTTGTTAAAAACGTTGCTCAGCTACAAATAATAGTCTGAGCATGCGCATTGCCTTCAATTTTTGTAAATAATGGCGGCTCGCTTTGCTGAACTTTCGGAAAATGAGTTGTCTCGCTTACTTGAAGAAAAAAACGCGGAAAATAAAAAAGCGACTAAAAACGCCGTCAATGTCTTTCGCCAGCATTTAGAAGCAAGATAAATCAACGAAGACGATCTAGTTGGCTCAAAAGAAACTCTTGCCAATGTCCTTCGCAAGTTTTTATGCAGAAGCAAGAAAGAGAGAGGGCGAACTTATATAGTAAACGAAAGATAAAATGCTTTATAAGTGAATGATAAAACAATTATTGAACTCGGTTCTCGCAAAATATCGTGATTTGTCGGTGGCTCGCAGATCAATTATTTGCCTCTGCCTTCGGCATCGGCAAATAATTGATCTGCTCGCCACCGACAAATCACGATATTTTGCTCAACCTCTTCCAATAATTGATAATTATTTGCACAGACACTAGCCGGCGTAGCAGTCACTTTTTTTGTTTTTGAGGATTCCCTTTTTTCCCTCGCCGTTTTTTTTCTCCTCACGTTTTTTGCATTTATTTCTTAAAATGTCTTCAAAACCTTCAAAAGATAAAGCGACTGCTACGCAGGCTACACAAAAACAGACCAAGCAAAAAATCCTGGAAAAAAAATCCAGATAATATTTTATCTAATAAATATTAAAGACTCACTACTTCCTCCACAGCTGAAAACCCTGTCGACATCGTCAGCCTGTTAAACCGTTACTTCTACTCGGTGTTTAAACATTCCGATACTACTGACGACCATTTTTTCTGTTGCTCCTGATAACGACACGATTGATCTTACCATCATCTCAGACATCTCGTTAACAGAAGAGGAAGTATGTGTTGTACTCAAAGCACTGGATGAAGTCAAAGCTACTGGTCCCGACAAAATTCCAGCGTTATTGCTGGAGAACTATGCCAACTGTTCAACAAGAGCTTATCTTGTGGAATCCTGCCGTTCGATTTAGGACTGTTTGGTATACCGATATACCGAAAATATCGATATTAAATCAATATCGGTATATCGATACCGGATATTCAACCATACCGATATACCGAAATTTCGGATATACCGGAATTTTTCGGTATACCGTGTTAAATTTATTTATTATAACTTTACCACATAAAAGAGTGGCAGGGTCACCACAACAGTCATAAAAAACAATTACTGTGGGCCCTATTTTACAAATACTATATAAATATGTACAACTACATTAACATAACTTAATTTACGAGACTATCAGGAACAACAAGAGAGAGGAGTAGCAAGACTACGAGCAAAGTTACATTTCAAACAGATTGATTTCCAAGTCCGAGGGTTTTCAGATTCATAGTTTATATTGATAGCAGTAGTTTAATATCTGTAAAGTAAATATGGACAAGGAAAGAGACTGTTGTTTAAGTTCATTAGGAAGAATGTTCCATATTCTTGTTGTTCTGTTGATGAAGGAGGTCTGGTAGGTTACAGTCTTGCATTTCTTAGTACGGAACAAGATAAGGTCTGGATTGCTTGTTGCTCTCGTTTTCCTTTCATTGCCAAGATTTCTTGCTGGTAGTATATCTTTGTTTGCATAGACCAAACCATTAATCATTTTAAAAAAATGTACCAAATCTAAATATTCGTGCCAGAAACTAATTGGTAGTAAGTTGGAGGCTATTAAACGTTCTTTGTAGGGTACTTCGCTGTAGAATGGTAGGTTAAGGATAAACTTCGTCGCACGACGCTGCACTCTTTCAACTCGCTTTATCAACTCCATTGTTTGAGGGGCAGATCTGGATAGCGTAGCCAAGGTGAGGTCGTACAACTGTGAGATATAAGCATCTTCTTGTTACTGGGTTTCTTGTCTCCCGGGATGATCTTCTTGAGAATCCCAACAGTTTGTTCCCTTTCGAACACTGCTCAATAACTTGCCTGTTCCAGGTCAAATCACTTGACACCCAGACACCAAGATCTTTTTCATGACTCACAATACTAAGTGTTTGACCTTTAATCGCGTGCGGATGTTCAAAGGGTGTTATCTTACGTGTAATACGCTGGCACTTGCATTTTGCTTGGTTGAATTTCAAACCATTCTCTCTGGCCCAAGTGTTGATGTTGTCAATATCGCTTTGAAGACCAGCGGTATGTTCACAGTTGTTAACCCGCTTTAGAACCTTGGTGTCATCAGCGAAACAAGCCACCTTTGATGTTTTTACCATCCGGGGCAGATCGTTCACATACAGAAGAAAAAGAACTGGGCCAAGGATAGATCCTTGGGGAACTCCAGATGTTACCTCTCGTTCTTCACGCTTAACGCTTTGTTTTCGCCCATGAAGGTATGATGTGAACCAATTTAGCAAACTATCACAGATGTTATATTGCCGCAGTCTAGCAAGGATGAGGGAGTGTTGAACTTTGTCAAATGCTTTCGACATGTCTAAGTATATAACGTCAGTTTGTTTGCCGGAGTCTAGTAAAGCGCCAATGTAATCGATAACTTCAACCAACTGGGTAACACAGGATTTACCAACTATATGGCGAAACCCTAACCTTTATTTTACTACTGAATGGCAATTCAAAGAACTTTCTACTGCAATGATTTAGAATTTCCACTTCAGTGAGATTTTACACTGAGTACGTGCATGTCGTTCGAAACAGCTTCAAAATGATCGTTTTCCCTTTTAGAATTACTCAAAATTTCCTTCAAACTTCCATTAAAGAATTTTCCTTTATAATTATCAAAGGAAAATCGGTATACCGATAATATCGGTATAATTTTTTCGGTATACCGATCGATACCGGAAATTTCTCATACCGAACATTCCTAGTCCGATTTGAAGCTGGCCAACATCAGTCCAATTCCAAAAGGAAGCCCTATTCATAATGTATCCAACTACAGACCAATATCACTGTTGTCATTAGTCTCGAAAGTGTTTGAACGTTGTATATATAATAGACTTATAAAACACGTCTACGGTCAAATTTACGAACTGCAGTACGGTTTTCTCAGAGGCAGATCTACAACATCTCAGCTGCTACACATTCTCCATCAAGTTCTTAACGTACTTGAGCAAAAAAACTAAGTTGACATTGTCTACCTTGACTTTGCCAAAGCTTTTGATAAAGTAAATCACGATCTATTACTGGTGAAGCTTCGCAACTTTGGTATTAGAGGAAATCTTCTTCGTTGGTTCAGAGACTTCCTTTCTGAGTTTCTGGCGATTCCAAAGATCTATAGAGTCACTTCGCGCTTGGTGTTCTATCAGGTGTTCCCCAGGGATCAATCCTTGGACCACTTCTATTCATAATTTACATCAATAATCTCCCGAAATATGTCTCACACGATACTACCTTAGCAATGTTTGCCGACGATACCAAATGCCACCGTCCTATTAAAAATTCCTTCAATCTGACTTGGAGTTAAAGCAAGCTAAGTGTGGAGTGCTGCATCTTACAAGATCTTGTGAACCAACCATCACACAACCGACCTAACAGTCAGAAGGACCTTGGCATGTCTATAACTGTTGACTCCTCAAATGGAACAAGCAAGTGCAGGAGATTTCGTCAAAGGCCAACAAGATGCTGGTTTCGTGAAGCGAACAGCATATACGATTGGTAACCCATCGGTCCGCAAGGCACTCTACCTGACTTTGGTTCGCAGTCAACTGGCTTACAATTGTCAAGTGTGAGCACCCCAGACGGTCAGCAACATTCTAACCATCGAACGTGTTCAGCGTCGTGCCACCAAGTTCATCCTATCTCTGCCATACCAAACAGATATCTCGTATAAGGAGAGATTGCAGATCCTCGGTATCATCCGTCTATGTTACTGGCACGAATATTTAGACATCATTTATATCTTTAAAAGTCTAATAAATGACTCTGACAGTATCATCTGATTCTCGGTCGAAGTCTCAACACGAGAAACAAGAAGTGCAAGTAATAGAACTTTCCTAAATATGGGAAAGTGCAACTATACCAGAACATGCAGTTATTATATATAAGAGCCGCGAGCGTATGGAACACTCTTCCTAGTTATATTAGAGACACAACTAAGTCTACAGCACCATTCAAAACATTACTACGCAAGCACTATAAAGATCTAACGGACAGTGTTTTCAACCCCGATGACCCGAGAACTCTTAAGTCGGTTTGTGTGAAATGTAACACAAGTCGTCCTTTATGGAACTTATTATCTAGATCATGTTGTTAGGTTAACCGAACCTTGTATAGTGGCCCCTTTCCCTTATTGTGTGTGCCGAATGCAATTACCATAATGCTTATGAATATAACTTTTTCTTACGATTCAACTCCACGTCCGAGTATAGCATTCTGGTGGTTGTGGACAGTGTGCATGCGTGATAGGGAAGGCAGTCATTAAAATTTTAATATAGCTTTCTCGATAGATAAACGATCTTAACAATTTCAAATTACTCAATATTTCATTCACGAGTCCAGAATTTCAATGAGGATCTCACTAGCGAAAACGGTATCAACATGTCGTTTGTCTTTATCGTTGTTTGTTTCAATTTGTAGCCTGTTAATTTGGTTATCTCTTTATTAGTATGTCTGTCACGTCATAGTGTAAGTTATTATGCTTATGTATGTTGCGGAACCCCGTTATTGGAGATTTTATCTCTGTGTGGTCATTCCAGCCATTGTGTGTAATTTATAGTTAGTTTACATCTTTAATAATGGCAAACTTATAAAATAAAATATAACTAGTACAGTAGTGATTGATCTAACAAGGCCCCTGCAGTGGAAGCATTCAGTACAGAAGGGATGCTATCGCAAAACGGTGACTTATTCCAAGGTGCATGGGTATTATGGAAACCATTTATGAGAGAGTGGGCATTAGTTGATCATTTATGGTACATGTATGAATATTTAATGTATACCATGTTTTAATTAATACAGGTTAATCAAGTTCAAGAGTTATCTTTGAAAGTGAAACATTTTCTCCCACCAGTGGTAAGAATTATACTAACCACTAACTAATGTCTAATGCGTTTTCACAATTGATTATATCTTGCCAGTTGTGTACATCTCGACACTAACATATTGTATACAGGTTTCATCGCCAGAAATTTTTGTTTTGTTTGGAAATCATGACAGTTTGTCTCACACTTTGGATTTTTCTGTCAACACTGCTTCAGACCTTCAAGACTATGGAAGTACTGGTATGTAGTTGCCTGATGTACCTGATTGCACTGAACGTATTCCCCAATATTATATACCTTAGATTCCACTATATTAAATTAATTAAAGTGTACAAAATAATTAGACTTATAACACTCTTTGGTTAAAGTTTTTTTTCATATATTCATCGCATTAAAAATATAAGTCAGACTGTTTAACTTCAAAAATTTGCTAAGTAGAATTGGAAACAGATAAGTGTTGCGAGGTTGTCTGGCTTATATTTGTATGTTTTTAGTACGCAAAACAATGTCAGTTGACTTGTACTGCAGTCTGCAAAGATTTCAGTTTGGTTAAGCCAACCGACCATGCATAGATATGTTATATACACTAGATAGCGCATCTCTTTTAGTAAAATTGAAGCCAAGAATATTCCAGCGGTTACCCCCATTTGAATAGATGGCGGCCTGGTTGGAGTTTCCCACTCGCTAATAAACGCTTAAAAAACAACAATGACTTTCATCATTTGAATAATTTGAAAATGTATTTGGAATAGGTTTAACTTAATGTTTAAGTTCCCTGTTTAAGAAATAGAAAACATACGAGTCTTCTCATTTCATGGGAATATCCTGAGTCTGCAATCACGGCTACAATTTTTGAATTGCAGAATAATTAGATGCACTATCTAGTGTATATATTAAAGATATCTATGCAACCAACACCTCGCTGTAGGCGGTAGGTCACAAGAATGCCGGACCCTTTAAGAGAGACGCGAAATTTCGTTAACTTGGGTCTAAATGACCCGAGCTAACTGAATTTCATTGAATTGCCGAATTTATTTTCCTCTGGCTAGCACCCATAATATCTATCTGTGAAATATATCTAGCTAAGCTAGGATGGACATATATATTCCACAGAGGAATATAAAAAATATATATATGCGAGATCTAGCTCAATCTTATTTTAAAATACCACTTTTTAAATGCACATTCAATTTTGTATGACGATATTAATAATACCCTCTTAAATTTGCCTCTTTATATCAGTACGAGGATACCTTATGTATACGAGGGAAACGGATGGAAATTCAAAGTGTTCGTCACCAGAGAGAGTCAAGACTGAACATTTTGATACCGACGCCGTTCAACGCCGTGTTCATTTCGAACAGAATGGCGACAGTTCAAAGGAAAATAATGTAGATCACGGCTCAAAGAGAACTGTTCACGAAGATACTGTTCGAAAAAATGAAGAAACATATTTAACAGAATTACCACAAGCCACAGAGTCGAACTCACCTGAGGAAAAACAGCAAACACAACGTTTGTCAAACAGTAGACAAGACAATCAGAAATCACACAAGGAAGATCGACGGCCGATATCTGAGTTGCCAAAGGACCAGAATTTGCAAGGCAACCAAGTATGTTCAGATGACGTGAATGGTGTTACTTCTCGTGTACCCTCGAGCGACAACAGAAGTGAAAGTCATGATACTAAGCAAATGTCATCAAATTTTGAAGATCAACATTCAAAAAGTCCACGGTAAGAACTCGAGCCAAAATACTTTTCTTCCTTGCAGTAATTTTCTTGTTCATTAATATCATTGTGACACAACTACCAAACTAATGAAACTTCTATCTTTCTCTCGACCGGGACACTCACTCGGCCTTTAATCTATATTTATATATGAATTATCGCTATATGCATTAAGTACAGTAATTACGGTTGCAATTCTGCACTGGCCATAGAGTTCTATTCGGAAGTTTAAATAACTCAATCTTTCTTAACGTTGTGTTGACCGTCAATAAGCTTGCGAATGAATCGAATTGATAATCATTGTTGCGTAATGTTGATTTTAGAAACAAAATCCACAGAAAGAATCCTCTTCTACATTCCAAAACAGCCCCTTCTTTGCTTCAAACTTCCTGGAATGAGACCATTGACAGGAAAAGTGAAGAGAATGGACAGAACGAGCGAAGTAATCAAATAAGAAGAGGGAATGATGAACATGCTGGAAGTTTAAACAATAAAGAAGGGAACGAAAATGTTATATCAAATGAATATCCTGATCATGTACAACTAGGAAGCAAAAACGAAAGTGAAGTGACAGAAAAAGCGAGTGAGGATCATGAGCATCGTGGCATAGAACATCATGGAATGGAACATCATGGCATGGAACGTCATGGCATGGAACGTCATGGAATGGAACACGATGGCATGGAACGTCATGGAATGGAACATCATGGAATGGAACATGATGGCATGGAACGTCATGGAATGGAACATCATGGAATGGAACATCATGGAATGGAACATCATGGCATGGAACGTCATGGAATGGAACATCATGGCATGGAAGACAATGGCAACAAAAACAATTTTCAAATTGAAAAGAAATTAGCCGGAGAAAATGGTGATGCTTGCAATCAGACACAAGTTGCAGATTCAACGCAGGAAAATATCAAACATAGTGCAGATCATTCAGTAGCGTCTAGTGGATTTGAATCGTTAAATCAATCAAATAATGACAGACACGATATTGAGCGCACCGGGAGGAATTTTGGAGTGACAATTGCTGAGAAGGAAAATCTAGGTATATGTATATCAATATACTATTACTGTGTGTGGTATATTTCTTGAATAGTAAATAACAGATGAATAAAACTATTTTCGACCGCAATGTCTTACAACCAACTTCTGTTATACTTAACAGCGAGTTGAAAAGTCTCTTCCATACAGTTCTAATAAAATGAGTGATAATTTGTTGAGTAGGATTCTTTGTTCACATTAACAATATTATAATGGAATTAATTGCTGATACTGTACTCTTTAAATATAGCGCACAAAACGAAACTCGTGATTTATATATTAATAATTTTGTAAAATAATAATTCATGCAAAAAAATTCAAAAGAAATCAATGTTGAGGTGTTGAATACACATTATACAAATTTCTACTGATTTGCATTATCTTTTTCCTCGATTTTCTTTAGTTAAAATTACTTCTTTTTGAAAAAATGTTTCAAAATGCAACTGCTTAACTTGTGTTTCACAAGCTATCTACAGCATTCGCGTCCGTGCATGTGTTGAATAAAACACATACAACCTTCGTTTGTAAGCAGAAAACACAAAACAAGCTACAAATTAAACTAAGAAAAACCCTTTCTGAAGTTGTAAAACTGTTTTACTAAATTAAAATTTACAATCTTGCTTTTTCATATATATACGCGTTAATAAAATAATTATTAAACTTCGGTTTTCGCGTGATATCAAAAATTATCAAGGCCTCGGTTTGTTTTATCAGATAACACAACCTCGGCCTTGATAATTCTCGATATTGCACTCTCGACCTCATCCATCCAATAATTATTAAATATTGGAATTTTATATTTTAGTGCTACAGTTGCAAGCTGAACTTAACGCTGTTAGAAGTGAAAGGTACAGTATAAAGAAAATTCAAAAACATTAATAATTCATGAGGAAAACACAAAGAAAAATCATAAGCGTGTCGTATCTTTATATGTGATAGAGATTTCCCTTGATTTACATAAACTTTAACTTTGATTTTCTCGACTTACACAATGTATGAACTTACTAGATCGATCGTTTTTGAAGCAATTAGCCATTCCGAAGTTGATGAGTGGACTGGGGACGAGTGTTAAAAAGTGCCCAAATTAAGAAATGAACTAAATCACTAAAAGGTCCTAAAAAGACCACCTCAAAATTAGTAAGTATACAAAGTTTGAAGATGTTTACATGAATACCCTTCGAATAATAAGCTTTCGAAAATTATGAAATTACTGATTAAAAGATTGTTTTTGGGACGCGCGTTGTCCCAAAAACAAAAATTGCAATACATTTCATAGTAAATATCGGATTTTCGAAAGCTTATTATTCGAAGGATATTCATGTAAACGTCGTCAAACTTTGTATACTTACTAATTTTGAGGTGGTCTTTTTAGTGATTTGGTTCATTTCTTAATTTGGCCACTTTTTAACACTCGTCCCCAGTCCACTCATCAACTTCGGAATGGCTAATTTAAAACGTTCGCAGTGCGTGTTTTATCAGACCTAAAGTCCTAAAGATACTCGGATACTCATGCTGCTCATATTTTAAACAGTACTTAAAATATTCTTAACATATACTCATGTCCAATTTTTTGTTAATTTACCTGCAGCCGATGTACATCTCCGATGTATTTCATTGATTTTGTTTTAACGTTTTGCTGTCTGCATATATTTGTCTATGTGCCTTTTTGTATTAGCGTGTTTCTATTGTATTCTACATTCAATTCTTTCCTACTGTTTACTTTGAATAAGGGACCGGTCATTATTTATGGCGGGGGGTGGCACCGAAGAGAAATGTTTTGCGTGGTAAATATTTTGCTGATGCAACCATTAAAAAGTCAAAAACATTTTTACCCAACCTCAAATATCAATTAAAAAATAAATACCCACCCCTGGCCGAAAACTTTACAAAATCATACCAGTGAATTTGCGATTTTCTGCAGTCTAAAGTTTCATGTTGTCTGCACAAGTACTTTCTTTGGAGACAATGGTCAAGAATACAAGATAGTAACTCTGACTAATTTACATATTGCAGTGAGATATGACTGTTCACATTGCTTTCAGTTAGTCTTCAATATTTGCGTGAGTCATGCTTTGGAAATGACAATAAATTTTTATTACCCAACCCTTGAGTTGTTTTGGTTTTCAATTACCCAACCTTTTACTCACTCAAAATTTTGTTTACCCAACCCTTTTTCTCTTCGCCCCCCCCATAAATAATGACCCCTCCCTAAAGTAAAAGAAGATCGTATAAACGTGATTGTAAACTTGTACCATTGTACATGTTTGGGTCCTGAATTTCAAGGCGTTGAACAATATTGAGGAAGTTGATTCACGATTTCACGGTTGTAACTCTTTCAAAAATACAGAAAAAAGCTACAAAACAAAGGCCCTGCCTACCTAAAAAGCTGACTATAGAGCGTTTGTACTCATTCCCCAGGGACCAACTCAACAAAAGCCATGGCAGCCATGTTGGTGTTCAAAAGAGTCGAATACTCGAATTGAAATTATTTTGAATTGGAACACCAACATGGCGGCTGTGACGTCATGTGCAAACGCTCTATTATAGATACGCCAAGACGTGCATTGTATGATTATTGTGCAAACGCACACTTGTTTCCCACCATGAAACATGTGGCATAATCATAATGGCACAACATATTGTCAATTACATCTGCATATCGAGACAAGCGCTTCTTGGGACTAGAATGTGCAGTTTTTAGTGGCGTGATTGTGATGTTATTTTTCCATGTTACCAGATCAAATAGTGAGAAAACCAGAGAGCAATTACTAAAGAAAGCCAAAAACCTCCAGAACCAAAATAACCAAAAACGAAATCAAGGTGTGTAATTATTTTGTGCTTTAGACATTCTGAGAAACCGTCGGTCACTTCTTACTAACTCTCAGAAAGCAAGCACTTCTGGAAAATATCAAACTGAACAGTACTGTACGTACCCATAGGGAACGATGTCCGTACATAGAATGATAGAATGCCATAACTAGTCCGATATTCCCCTAAGAATCCTTATACCTTATTATAGGAAATTAACGATGCACTTTATTAACGCGGATTTTAAAAATTCGCGTTAATTAATGTTAATTTATGTGATCGTTAATTTTAAGTATGTAATTTTCATTTACCATTAGTTAAAAATACCAAGATTTGTTTTATATAACACTAACTCTTTTAATATCACAAAATACCGCATATTAACGTAAACTAAAAACATCAGTGCTCCTCTTAACATTAAACCTTTGTTGTTGTTGTGTCTATATTTTCCGATTCGTGTTAATTTAATTAATTTGTCAACCATGGAGATCAGATTCGCGTTAATATAATCATGCTTTAAAAGACCTAGAAGCAATCCGCGTTAATTTGATGTCGCGTTAATTTATGTCGCGTTATTAAAGTGCATCGTTAATTTCCTATAATAAGGTATATCGGCTTATGTATTACCACTACCTTGCAGCCCAATCCACATTTTTTGAAAACTTGCATGCATGTATGTGTATTTAAACGCCACTGCTATATAATAACGAAAGCATACAATCATGCAGCGAAGGGGAGGCTAAAAGTCTAGCTTCCTCCGTTCACACAAAAACGTCATAGGCTATATGCCTATATATACGTGGAATCGTGGATGTATTAAAAATTGTACATATGTTTGATTGTGCATGTGTTTGTATTTAGCTAAAACAGTGTGGAAGAAAAGATATTTTGAAGAGAAAAAGAAGACGGTGTCACTTGAAGAACGTTGTAATCAATTGCGATATGAAGTGGAAATTATTCATAAGAAAATTCTTTCGTCTGGTGATGCCAAAGGTACAGATCATTGTGTGCATGAATGTACAGTAGTGCAATGAAATTAATTGATGTATGACATACGTTCATAATACCTGATTTAGCAAGAGAAAAACACTGATTTGCATATAAAACTGGACTGAGTATCTGAAATTAAGTGTTAAAAATCCAGCCGAAATTCAGCCATAACTAAAAAATCAAATGATAAACACTGTAGAGCATTAAACGCCTCTGCCACACTGATATCCCAGAGCCTCTCTCCTCCGCAGAGGCTTCCTTCGCCCAGCGGCTACGCTCGTGTTCCAAGATCCGCCATGTAAAGTGTAGTGAAATGTATCTCATCGTAATATTAAATCCTAAGAAAACTAAAGCCTCTGCGGAGGAGAGAGTCCCAGAGCAGTTATGTTTTGAGAGATCCCCATTGCCAAGGGGAATTATTTTGTAAGGAAGTTGACATACTATGCACAAAAAAAGAAAATAATCATTACTGAGGAAATTGACAGCACATATGCAAGTGTGAATTCTGTTTCCCATTCGCAGACAAATATGCCGATTTCGTCACTGCGCAATGTTGGCCAACGACAGAGCAGGACGCTTCGCCGTCGCTGGCACAACGACGTTAACCTTGAAATTTTATAGCTTGGTCTTGTGAGGAAAGGCAAGCGACTGCTAAAAGTCTTTCAAGACGGTTTTAGTCGTTGTAGTTAGCCTCAGGCCTTAAAATATCGGTCGGTCACGGACATTGTCCGACCCGTTCGTGAAATTGTCCGACGTAGAAAAGAAACCACCGGACATTCTGTCCGACCTAAGTGAAACTGAGGTTTATTGTTTGTCCGACCCGAGTGTATTGGTGTCCGACCGAACTGTAGCTTTGTCCGACGTAAATCAAAATGTACCCTAGCCCAGGAGGCCCGGACTAGAGGCAGACTTGTATGTTAAATGGAAAATCAGAGTACTATTGTATAAAAGGTCAACTGGAAATGTTGTTTTAACTCGAGCGCGGGGCGGCGAGCGAAATGGTGAAGTGGAAAACGGGCTTAAGTTGTCGAAGTTTTTTTGATACTGCTGTTCTGGCAAGTATGTATGAAAGAAACAAATTATTTAATATCTTTACAACATTTACCGTTTATTCATTTGTGTCATTCAGACTTATTTCCAAGTCAAAAATGAACTGAAGGTCATCGGACATATGTCCGACCAAAACTCAACGTCACCGGACATTTTGTCAGACGGCCCTGGAAAAGATATTTTAAGGCCTGTAGCCTAGATTAGAATTTGGGCGTATAGATTTTGCATTGTTGGAGTGCAGCTATATATTGACAATGATAATGATCAAACCAACAATACTCGCTCGCTTCACGATGCTAAACAAAACTCTAATCTTCAGTCAGGAAATCTTGACGTTGCTGCTAACACATGATGGTTTTCGTGTTCCGGTATTTGAGCGAGAAACAAGGATGTTTCTCGCTCGACGATCGCACAGCAACTTATATGTGTGCTAATTGGATACTTACTAAAATACGTGGGGATACCGCTGAGAATAGGGGCATGCTCCCTGCACATTCAACTGCTTAAATTTGACATTGCGAAACAATACTGTCTTACTAAGGAGTCAATTTGACTTGCATTTGTCAGACTACCCCAGTTTCAGAGGCTCTTTGCGAGGCGAAAGAAACGAGAGGCGAGAAGGAAGAGCCTCTGGTCACATCGGTTGCAAATCCCACTTCCACACTTGATTAGGTTCAGAATTTGAATCTCGCATGTGATTGGCCATTTGTAAAAATATGTCAAACCGGTTTGGGAAATAAACATTTTGTAAGCTAATGATAGCTATTATAGCTATATAATTAGCTTACAGTAATGTTTATTTCCCAAACTGCATATACAAAATATAATAGTTGGGTCTTTGTTTGTTTGTTTGGGTTGTCTATATCTATTCATGATTTACATTTGCTTTTCTTGTACAGTACTGGGCTGTGGACTGTGTCAACCATATTGTACTAAATTTTGTGTACATGTATTTTTATAGACCGTGATTCAGCATCAGCATGTTTACATAAAGATGGAGATCCCAAAAAGGTAAACATAAATAAAGTATATAATGAACATGAAAGCGTGTTATTACAAAGTTAAATTAGTGCAGTTGTCTGAAGGCATGTTAAAGATGTCAGACGAGTGCAATTTGTTTTTCAACCTATAGTGGTTGACAAAACCCTTCGGGCAGTATAGGGCATCTGGCACCCTCTTAACTCCCGCGCCCACAAAGTTTTGTTGTGGTCTTGTATCATAAATAGACAAGACAGAGCAATACGTTCTCAACATTGCATGTTTAGGGGGAGGGAGTATATTTGCATGGTTATTTATGAATCTTAATTTTGACAACGTTTTTCAAATTGCCCGAACATTTTTTGTCAGTGATTGTACAATGCGATTATTTTTTCGTTTTGAGTTTCTACTGATTGCTGGCTAGCTTGTTTTGTAATTAACTGATTTTTTTTTAAAAATGCACAGCAAGTTTCAGTGGGGATGTTAGCAACGCAATTTCATATTGAGATACCAGGTGCAAACATAGATATCTTATATACACTAGACCTATTCCAAATACATTTTTAAACTATTCAAATGATGAAAGTTATTGTTGTTTTTTAAGCGTTTATTAGCGAGTGGGAAGTACCAACATGGCCGCCATCTATTTAAATGGGGTAACCGCTGGAATATTCTTGGCTTCGATTTTACTAAAAGAGATGCGCTATCTAGTGTATATAAGATATCTATGGGTAATGGGTGCAAACTATAAGGACGTTATACATAATGGTGGTTGACGTTATGCATTATGCGTTGCTAGGATATTGCGTCAGAGCAACCAGCAGAAATTGCCTGACATGGACTTAACATTTATGTCGCAGAAGCTAAAAATTAAATGTATCTAGCAGGGACTTTATTTCGAACTGATTTGTTTAGTATGGTTTAGGAAGTAGTATATCAAATCCAACTATGTATGAGCTACAATAGGACTTTACCAGATAATTATATCTCATATGAATATAAATCATTTAAATTTTAAAATAAAGTGAATTAATGTTTTTCAGTCCAAAGACTGAATTAATTTTGATCCAGTCTAGTACTGAATCAATATACTTCACCAGGTGTCCAGTATTATCATGTGAGCAAAGTAAAGTAATAAGAAGGTTGGCTAATTTACTCTTGAATTATTGAGTACCAATGAGTACCTACAATCATGGCAAAACACATGTTAGTGGGGACTTGTCCCCCTCTCCCCCCTACAACGTTGGTTTGGCATTCGTTTTACAACAACTTCGTACCCAGAGTTACCCAGAGCCATTTTACCTCCATTGTACCGTGGAGGTAAAATGGCCCTGGGTACGAGGTTGATTTTACAAAGCTTTCACCTAACCAATTTATAAGCTTTCAACATTGAACCGGGGGGGGGGGGGGAATTGTTAAAAATTGCTGCTTCTGTACATATGTATAGGGCAAGGCAGTTATTTCTATTTCCGCACACGTTATTCACAATGTTTGTCGGGATTCTAGCTGTTGTTCTTTACTCTTAGTTAAATGCTAAGATCATGTTAACACGGAAGGAAAATGAAGTGGATGAACTCAGACGTCGAGTGGAAGAGGCAAAAATAAAACTGGGCTCGGAAATGAAGGTTTGTTGATAATGCATGGTTATTATCTAATTAAAACGGAAAGAAAGGAAAGGAATATTGTCGAAGTAAGACCACATTTTATGGCTCGACTATATATAAGAGATATTGCTCGACTTTATATAAGAGATAAAATTTCGAATTGTCCATGCATATATAGTATTATGGTTCCCAATACATCCATTGCTGTTGACTATTTTGGCCGCTCCCCACGTGTAATGCGACATAACATTTTAAGCATTGTTGATACTAATTAAACTAAAATAAAAGATATACGTGTATATCTAGATGTAAGATATACATTTAAAATCCCTCTCCATGTATATGCTCGGAAGATAGATAGTGCTTTTTGCGTAATTTGGTTGCTCAGCTCCAGATATCCTTGCATGCACTATTCATCTCCGGACCAAAACAAAATGTCTTCCGTTTTGTCGCGGTGACAGACGAGCAAATATTTGTATTAAACGAAGCAGCGGTTCCACCAAACACGAAGAAAGCCACAAAGTTTTGTTTCACGTTGTGTAGAGGTATTCTCTTAAATATTTCTCATGATAACTAAATAGCTTGTAAATACTGTTTGTTAATTTTCAACGCGGTTGCGGGAACTATAATACAAACTGTTTATTTTCGTTGTTTTTTGCCATTTTTGTTTTGTTTTGGTATATTAAATATACTATGTCGGTGAACAGTGCAAGGATGTTCATCTCGACACTTCGTGTCTTAGTGAATATCCTTGCCGTATAAACCTCCACTTCGGTTAATAATTGTTAATATTATTTTGCAGCTTCGTGATAACGCCCAGAAAGAATTAAAACACATTCGTGACGAAGTTATTGATAAAAAAATCAACGCCACCCTTGTAAAGAAAAGTTTATCTTTGTTAGAAACTCGTAGTCCTAATGATGTGTAACTGTTTTGAAACTAACTACTAAAGACTAAAGTGTGTATATTGCCGTTAAGGTTATTTATATGTACCTTTTTGTACTGTACATATTACTACTACATGTACATATACAATTATAGCCAAATCAACTGCATGTAAATTAAAGTTTTACTTGTTGTTAGTGTTTATTATACATTATTGTACGTTGTAATTGGTAAAGGCCGATTTACACTGCACAAGTTTCGCCAGAGGGGGACGGGGGGGGGGGGGTGTTAAGCCCCATACTTTTCAGTGAACCAGTCGGTAAATTAGTCGGTAATCGTTCCATGTTTCGCGCACCAATATAATAAACGTTATGTAATGGATATTATAGTGTACTGAAAAGTTCACTAGATACCTCCATACAAATATAACACACCCTAACCCCAACCTTAAACCTAACCCTAACCTAACCCCTAACCTTAATACTTTTAAAACCCTAACCCTAACCTATATTGGTGCGCGAAACATGAAATGATAACCAATTAGTCAATTGATAGAACGCTCGGTAAACTGTAATCTATAGTGTCTATGGTCCGTAAAGTTTTGGAAAAGAAATAATTGATAGACCAGCTCAAATTTTAAAAAACGTTGAAGAATCTTTTACCGATGGTGCCGGTCATATCCAATCTGATAATTGACTGCAAATTGCGTAAATTTAGAAGTGCTGAATCTCAGCGCCTATGTTTAATTAAAATAATTATAATGTGTATGGAAATAAATCCTCGTCATCTTCGTACTTGGATGTTAAGTTAGGCTCATGGATGATATTTATTATTGATGCATGCAATTACAATAACATAACGAAATCACAATTCGAAAGGATACGTATACAGTAAATATACTACATCAACATTGATCAACTTTTTGCGTTTTGTACGAACTAGTTGTGAATGCAAACGAATAGTGTACTAGAATTTCAGATGCATTTATATAGGAGTTAAAAATTTCAAATTTTGGGGGGAGAGCATTCACCAAAATAATAGCAAATTTAAGGATCAATAAATTTGCACCATTACAAAACCAAATGAAATGTGTATACTTAAAGTATATGATAAGCCACAATCTCGAACGATCTGTGCCAGTGCAGGTAACGCCGACAACAGACAGTTGTGGTGTGAGAAAAATACATGAGAAAAATATGAACAAAACCTCAACGTTTCGAGCGAAGGCCCTTTGTCGGGAAGTTAGTAACCTTCGCTCGAAACGTCGAAGTTCTGCTTAATATTTTTCAGGTAGTTGTATCTCTCTCTCACACCCGTGATATTAAAATCGAGATGCCTCCCCCCCTCCCCCCTCCTCCCCCACTCAAAAGATCCGACATTGATTGGCATATACGTGCTGGAAGTGCACCCGTTATCGGTACACTAATTAGCTCTTATAGCAGGGACGCCGGAACGACGAGAGGGCAAAGGGGGCAGACTTTCGTCGAATTGAATTGATATATATTATGAATTGAATTGATATATATTAAAGGACGTTTACGAAACATCTGGAGTTTAACGCTGCCTGATTTGTAAAGAAATAGGGAGGTGTGCAGTTCTCCCCCAGAGAATTTTGATATTTTTGAAGCTCAATGACTGCATTTCTGGCACAAAAGAATTCAGCCCAAAATGACTGTTGTCGTATGCGAAATTTGAGCTTACAAATTTAGTCATAACTTAGGCTTATTGCTCCATTTACAGGGTCCCTAATAATATGTATATATAAAAAAATTACATTATTTACAACACATTTTATCCACAAGACTGGATAAAAAAATCTTAAAAACGCCTGGATAAAAAATCTTCGCCCTCCTCGCTCATTTTTTTTTCAGAGGCCTTTGCGAAAAATATGAGGTGACACGCACGTTAACAGCAAATTGGAACAACACTGGAATCATATAAACTTAATTTCCATACATTTTTTGCTCTTTTCCAGCAAAAGTTTGTTATATCATATAGTTTATATAGTTCTATAATAACAAGAACGAATTCTTTCTATTAATAACAAATATTTTCCTTCAAAAGGCCACCTTCGCCCCCCTTGCCCCTCCTGGTAAAGGGCAAGAGGGGCAGCTGTCGCTCCTGCCCCCCGGTTCCGGCGTCCCTGGCTCTTAGTATTAGCTCTCTGGTTAGCAGTTCCTGATTCCACAATATTCTATGTTCTGTTTATTTGTTACATTCCTCAAAATACCCTTGTTTCAGTCGAACACATGGAAGCGAAAAGACAGTCATAACACCAAGAACAAGAAACAAGAGGATTCCAGTGATTCCTGCTGTGCGAAAACTCCAGCCTTCGCCAGCTCTCGTCGTAATCAAACATTCCCAAACTTCATAGCCAGACCCAGTTATAACTGCATGTATGTAAGAAAACAATATTTAAAGTGGTAAAATCTTTTTCTTTGCTCCCTCCTAATAAAAAAGAACACCTTCGCGCCTTATCTGAAATAAAAAAGTCATGCACATTTGTTAAGTTATTTCACTTTGTAAACATTAATTTTCAAATGTGTCATTTTCATGTAGCTGGACTGCCGTCGTCTTCGGCAATATTGTTGCGTGTGCCATTATTCATGTGATACACCGCTTTCATTGTTATTTTTGAGAGCTCTCCCCGTCTTTAGGGTAAAAATATAAATTTCCATTTATCTCTCATTGCTTCCCAAAAAATATATTGCGTGCAATTGGTCTTATTGTGTAGTGTAACGGTTATATATGTCAAAAACCGCGCGGTATACCAGAAGGAAACTTGTGTTGTTTGGTGAAGTCAAGCTACGCAAGTGAGCCGAAATTCAAAGAACTTCTTATCGCAAGACTATTTCTTCCAAGATATTCAATACCTTATATGTTGGTATTTGCTAAACCTTTACATTGCCAAAAACGAAGAAGAATACATACTGTATCTTGCAAGATGTCCAACAAAATGTAGCAGAGATTACAGCAATATTATGACAGCCACTGCTTTATGAAATTCAATGTGATGATCAATGGGAATATACTTTCCAATTTTTGTCGATCGCAACCAAGTGAGGAAAGATTTTAACATGAGAACCAATACGAACATTTCGTTAAAATTCAAACACATTCCAAACATACGAGCTAAGACGACCCAACCTCCCTTGTTTTTACGGGTGTTACCGATCTAAACACACAAGCTAACATTTATTAGAATATAGAAGATTTCGAAGAAAAATGTGAAAGGGTTTTTGCGAATATAATCGAGAGATCCCTTTCCAAGTTTCATTTTCTGACGACATTTTCCTTCGTTCTTCTTTGGCGGATTCAACCAATTTCCTGCTCTGTTTGAATAAAGAAAAATCTGCAATATAATTTTGATATTTTTACTTACTCGATGGCTTAAAAAAACTTTTACTCTACTTAAAAAAATTGAGTATAGACCAATTGCGAAACTCAGTGACCGCGCCTTCAACTGCACAAATCATTCTGCTATATTTTTATATGGCGAAAAATGAATTTCAGTGTTTGAGACGCGTTTTTATGGTAATCTCTTCATTTTTTTTCAATATTTTTGTTTTGACTATGTAAATCTTTATTAAACTTGTTCATAGATTTAGTCTTACTTCAAATTTCATTGTTTTTTGCGGCGTGCGAGGCAACGTTTTGCTGTTTTTCGCCGTCCGATAAAAGAAGCAGATTATACCAGAGAAAGAATCAGGTATTTTCCGTCTGTTTTATTAATACTTTTCAAAGAATAAGTTGTAACATTGATTAATTTTGTTTCAGTTGTAATATAATAGCAAGTTTTCGATTTTAACTTTAAAAATATGAAAGTAAATGTCGGGCAAAATTTGCCAAGGTGCATTCCGTGTAAACCTCACGCCGAAGATAATCTGAGGTACTGTTGCCGTGCGCCAAGTCAGGTCAACTTGTGCGCCGGCTGATCGTGGGCACCGTGATTTTTCATTAATAGTTAGTTTTTCAAAATTAAAAATTGCTAAAAAGGCGTGTAATTGATGAATAAGATGTTTTGCTGATGAGCAATCATGAGTGTTGTTACTGTTGTATCACAAGTTAATTATAACCACCATTTAGTAATATCACACTGACCAGGAACACAAATTTCTCGAGTCCCTAAAGAATTATAGAGGCCATTCCAATCGCCAGGCGATTATTAATACTCAAAGTCTCGCTTAGAATAAACATTTGATGCTGCGCCAACCACCAAAACTCAAAAATTGTGCGCCAACCTCGACGTGATTGTGCGCCAACAATTCAAAACTCACGCCGAAGATCTTCCACAAAACGTGCATGGAATGCACTCTGGAAAATTTGTAGAAATTTTATGTTATTATCCTTTGACAAAATCTTTTTTTCTCGCACGAAGTCTAAAAAAATCTGGGTAGAAAGAGTTATATTTTAGTTTATTAAGTTATACTGGCTATTTTATTTGCATCTTGATCAGATTTTAAAGTCTAGATTGATCTTTTCCATATGTTCGTTCCATCGCATGCTAAAACAACAACGAAATATCTCTCCAATGCGGGTAAAAATATAGTGGGAAATCGATGTTTAGATAAATTTAACAAATATTTATATAACCAAGCACGAAATATTAAGACAAGATTAAAAAGATTCAAGAAAAAACACTTTAAAAACCCTAAAATTCACTTTTCGCTATGTAAAAATATAGAAATTGTTTTGTTTTTGCATAATAAGCCTCGTTCTCGTGCAGTATGAAGGCGCGGCCACTAAGTTTCGCAATTGATCTATACTTGCTCAGAAATTTGAGTAATTTTATTTAATATTTTGAGTCACTGCATGCAGTGGGTGCATTATTTTATTCAAGCCCAAAATGTTTCGCAGTATTCAGAAAGAAGAAATGACATACGTAATATTAAGATTTTCAGCAACGCCAGAATATTTATTTAAAAGCATTTCAAACTCTTCAAAACGTCTACAAGATCTTCAATCTGAGCTGCATCAAAGTTTATGTCACTTTCTTCAACGCAGCATTCCAGTATTGTGCGAACTTCATTCATATTTAACTCGCCATTCCCTTATTTAAGACACACAAAGTCGACAATAAGTTTTTTGTAAGTTGGTAAGGATAGTGTACAATGTTTGTTTTCAATTGAAACGAAGTGAAGTGAATTGAAGTACTACTAAATTGGACTGTAATCAGACAAAACGCTATTTGAGGCTTTGTGCATGCACTCGCATGCATGCATGCATGCATGGGCCTGCACCATTGATGAATAATTTGGCTCATGCAGTAAGAGACTTGCAGATATACCTCCTCATGCAGTACAGTATTTTGGACTTTCTCGCCAGAAATTTGTCGTGCATGGTGAAGAATTTTTGGTGCTGAATTCATGGAGAGCAAATTAATTTTGTAGGGGGAAACCTCTCTATTATTCTATTCTGTATCAGTCGAATTGGTTCGTTATGAAGTCATGAAATATATCACATACCATCAATATCATAAACGTCAAAAAGAAATTTTAGTGTTTCACGTTCTGTTCCTTGGACTAACATCGTCAAGCCACTAACAAGCTCTTTCATGTTTATTGAACTGTCGCCATTCGTGTCGAATATGGCGTAGAATCGTTTGGCAAAGAAAGACTAAAATAAGACAAAAATTCTTAGAATGAAAAAATAAAAGGGGAACAATGAAAGGGCACAGATGCAAAACCATGTCTTGTTAAGAATCACAGAAAATTGGACATATAAATTTGGTTGAAAATCATGACCGTGAAGAAATTCGTATATCCGATACAAAATCATGCTGATTTACATAAACTTTCACTATTTATTTTAAATTGTTGAAGAATACTGCGAATATTCTGATCAAGACTTTTCAAAAGTCATTTACAACATTCGCGCCGTCATACCTATTTTGGGATCGTAACTCGGCTTAATCAAGGTTACATTATATGATGACCGCCTAAACACGCTTTAATTATGGTATATCATATTCGCCAACAAGACTGAAGCTTGCATGAGCTCGGTTATATATAAGAAAGCAGCTCTTACCTCCTTTAAATGCAGGGTTTTCCTAAATTGCTCGAATGTTATGTTTCTGTCATCTTGTGAATCCACATCAAAGATTTCTTGTATCCAGAAATACCATTTCGTATCTACGGATGCACTGATAAAAATAAAGAAAATTTATGGTAAGGAATTTTAGTTAAACATGCATGACAATGGACAAGTCAATTTCATTGACTCTATAGCTATAGAAACGATTTGTCGATTCGTGTGAGTGGTTCATTTACATCACAGACTCATAAATGTCTGTTGGATTTAAGCAAAATTCTGACACTATATATCAATAATATGGTTTCAACTAATACATGCATGTATTATCGCGGTTAATGAGTGTGGCCTAAAAACTCGATAGCAAATCTGAATCTAGCTATAAGGAAAGAGAATCAATTGATTGTTTGAATACGGTTTGCTGCCCTATCTTTCCTGAAAATTTGTAATTGAACTCTGTATTGCCGACTAAATGGTATAAGATATATGGTATAAGATATATGGTATAAGACATGGTATATAAGATATATGGTATAAGATACATGGCAATGTTTATGCATGCTTTCAGTTATGTCTCACACTATAACGTCGTTTTTCTTATAATAATATGCTTTGCAAACTAATTTCGCCTTGTGAAAACCCACTAAATACCTGCCATATATAGGCTACTGTAAGAACATTGTTTTGTCATTGGTTATTTGGTTTCCTACAACAAAAGCGATCAGTATTTGTGTCTCGTTCTTAGAAAGATGATTTCTATGCACATTATCTTTTCGATAAAACTGACTCTATATACAACCACTTTTGTTACAACATGACATTTATAGTTAATTTTACGACTCGTAAAACAACTTGTCGACTTGTACGAATTGACGAGCTAGTCGATTGTCCTATCTATATCCACTAGAACATTTTACCAAAAAAAGAAGTACCATGCATGTACAATCAGAATTTGTTGGTATTTCGTACCATTCTAGACGGTCTAAAACTGCAACGAATTCTTTCATTTGGATTTCTCCATCACCATTCAAATCAAAAAGTTTGAAAAGTCTTTTCAAAAACTGGAGAAGAAAAAAAGGATGGTTTGTGGAACACACAAAGATATTGTAATAACGCTATACATGCAAACATGAACTTATCATTCAAATATATATTCATGCATGCATGCACCTAATTGTGTAAAATCGGAGCAGGAGTGAAACAAAAAGCCATAATTATAATTGTTCAAAGATCCACAAAATGACCAAAAAGAAGGTGCAAAAGAGACGAGGGCAATATTAAGTAGCTGAGCTTTTGTTTAATCGGATTAATATTCATCACATGCAGACATTAGTAAGTTGACATTTTATAACATGAAATCAACGTGTTTCCACATCTCCCCAGTGATGATTTACGAGTTTTATTTCTTAGAAAATGCATTTACTCAAATGGCTGCAGGGTGTTTAGAAAAGATATTAAAAGACTACAAAATTTTTGCTGGTGATTCCACAGGGTCAGGGTTCTTATTAAAATAAAAAAAAGTTAAAGACTCTTAATTTCTCCTATATATAACTGCATGCAGCTTACTAATTCAGCTAAAAATTTAATAATAAGGTTTTTTTAAAACCACAGTTTCATTTGTCAGCCTGAAGTGGTTCTTGTATTTGTGTGCTTAATTGTCCAAATTTCAGGCTGGTGGTTCTTAACCATACATTGATTCTTTTATACGGGACTTTACTGTACTGGATCCACAGGTTTGCGGGATAGATTTATCCGTTACAGCAAAAGCATACGCGAGCATTCACGTACCACATTATCATCAAATGCCTTGGGGAATTAATGAAAGGTAACGATGTTTTCATCTTCGCAAATCTTTTCAAAATATTTTTTAAAGCAATCAGTACATTTTCGATTTTTGTCTCTGAAATGAAAAGTCGAACTGAACATATTATAGTCAGAAATATTTCTACAATAAAGTTAAATAACAATATAAAAATTTTTAAAGATATCAATGGCATTATGGCACACAGAATAGAATTGTTTGTAGGTTCATTATAACTCCAAAATTTAATGTACAATATTTAATGTACAATGTTTTCATAGTCACTTCTGTTTTGTCCCACGATCTCAACCATGATCAGTCAACCATGCAGTTGGATGATTGTAACACCCCTCAACACCTCGCACCTCTTTTCATAAATAACACAAGAATCTTTATCATATTTACAGACTCCGAACTAATAGTTTCTCAATCTTCACCCAAGGATTAATATAATGATATATCTTTTTCGGCTATGTCTCAAATATCTCTGAGATGCACATCACATGACCTGTTCCTTACACGATATATTCCAGAGATTCTTGCAATCCATTTTATTATCCTCATCACTGTTCTAAAATATTTATATACCTTCTTAACAAAGCAAATCCTCCAATGAGTTCCTGGATACTTAGATAACCTTGTCTTTTTGTATCGAAAATATTGAACAGATGCTCTGGAAACGCCTATATCAGAATAATATTTATAATTATTGCCAAGCTCTAGTTTTTCAGTGCAGTATACTCGATAGAATACTCACGAGTCATGTAATACCAAAGTCAGCATATATTTTAAAAACGCAAACGCCAGGTCGCGCATGTTAAAACGCATGCACGAAGTTCGACCTGTTAAAATGTTGTACAATATTTTACAAACCAATTAACTATTAACTTAATACGAGCTGGACAGTTTTTCCATTTGATGCAACGTACTTGCCAGATGTACAATATCGCATTTATCCAATTTATCCTCCCTCACAGCAAATTAGTTTAATAAGTAGAGCCACAGGAAATTGCCACGTCAGTTAGTCAGGGCATGCGCAATGCATGCAAGGGAGGATTTCAACTTACAGAGGAATATTTCGGTTGATTTCTTTTGAATTATGACCACCCGAATAAATCAGTTCTTCTCAATGGTTCTACTTGACCGCTCACAATTCAAAATAAATTAAGCGAAACATTTCGACAGCGAAATTAAAATTTTCTTGCAAAAGCCTGAAATGACGTCCAGCTTGACTCACCGTACAGGAAAGTACAAGAGAAAACCAAATTTTGTTTAGTCAACTGATTTAGTTTTTGTACATTGTTTATAGCCATACATACCGTGATTTCTCTCACAACAGATATAAAAGAATCCTTCTTAATACAACAAGTGTACGTACCAAGAGAACCAAATGCCATTTTAATCCAGGTTTCGGATGATTCTCAGTATTCTCTTCCTTTGATTTCGAATCTATTGTCATGTATTTCAAGCACTGTGTCTGTCTTATTTTCTTGTCTTATGTCGACTCTATTTTGGCCAGAACTTCTTTTCATTTCTCTCGACATGACCTTGCAGTTCTCATCTTCAGTTAAACTGTAAACTTAACATCGTGTAAGCTAATTACGTCGACCAGGTTACGCTTTGAATGACTGGCAAAGCTCATTAGTTGAGGTGAAATGATATTGGATTGTGTGGATGGGAGGAGACAACTATTTCATTAACGATACTTAGAACATAATTAAACTAGATGGTTTTTTTACAATTAATGACAACAAACTGTACGCAAATCGCACGTAGTTCAACAAGATTCTCTATTTTAATACTGCAAATCGATACATTTGAAGTTTATCAGTACCATATAATGTTTATCGGGCAGGCCAGATTAATTTTCTAATATTATTCAACATCCTACAGCCCTACTGAGCAACCGAGAACAAATTCAAGATCTACCTATCTGCATTTACACTGTAGAAATTCGACTAAAAAATAGTCTTCTAAGCAGGTTCCATGGTATCCTGTCGTTCTTGGTGTTGGTGGCGTATTGCCACAGAGTAGGTACATTCAGAGCTGTAACTGACCGTTGTAAACACTGCGGAAGCTTACGTTTTCATGTACCTACTTTTTTTCAGGCGACCAGGCAAACAATGATCAACTGCGCGTGCTCGGCAAGTTTCAAGCGAGCCGCCATCCAATCAGATGCATGCATCTAGTAACTTGCCGAGCACGCGCACAAAACAGTGGGTACACTAGTTATGTATATGTATCTACTCTGTGGTATTGCCTAGTACCTGTGCCTTTTACCTTATCTATATCTCTATTGTCGATTTCTGCATGTAATACGTAATACTGGACCTTGTACACCATTTTTGGGTGAAGACCAGCAGCAACAGAGGATGACAAGTGAAGGAGTGCATGATTTAATGAAGTAAACGGTCCTTTAAATATATATATAAAATATGGTTGCATTGCGTCCCAATGAGCCCTATTTTATTGTTTTACTCTGTCTAACGCTAGACGATTTTACTCGTCAAGGAGAGCGCGCTAGCGTTCTATGAATTAAATTCACTTCTTCATGCACGTGTTGCCAGCTACTTTCCTGTTCGGGTTGGTACGAATGAAATAAGAAACCTCATTGCCATTTGCCTCAGTCGCGTTTCAAGAAAGGTTTTCAGGAATTCAAGTTGATTCTATATGAAACACTGCATAAATACAGATTTTCTCATGTTTTTTTTTCCCTTGTATTAAGCCTGGCATACTGGACTGCCAGAGACAATAGCTCAGACAGAACTGATTGAGTTATTCAAATTATTCCGTGTAGATGTAAAGTGCTTGCGTATTCTTCACGAAGCTTCATATAACTTCTTGAAATTCCGGATCTTAAATATCCCGCGCGTGTGCTTGACGTTTATCACAACTACCACGTTTTATGTTCAGTGAATCCAACTGATTAATTATCATTTAATATGACTTGACGCGCATGACGACACGACTCGTGCCCTGCATGCAGTCGTCCGTCAATAAGTACATTTAAATGCCAATGAAAAAATTACTTTGCCAATGAACTCATATCAGATACAGATTGGCTGCTCATGTTTTATCTAGTACGTATAAATCAGTTGACTGAGAAGTGTGATACTTGATCATTCCCATCATGCACTATTATTTTTTCAATCCTGATTTTAGGGTTGGGTATAACATAACATAATTTATTATTCACTCGAAAATCTTACGAGTATATAACACTACAATAAATATTTATACAAACAATATACGAGCTATAGTCATCCGAATAACCATTTAGGGCTAATCTAATCTTATAGCTATTACACAAAAATTTAAATAGAGAATAATACATGGGTGCTTGGAAATACCAGATTTATTTCGAGTGTTGAACATGATATTTCACGAGTGAGATATCATGTTGAACACGAGAAATAAATCTGGTATTTCCAAGCACCCATGTATTTTTCTGTTTATTATATAAAGGACAGTCTTTGAAAAGCGATAACTTTTACACAAAAACGAGAATTGAAAAGTGATAATCTCACATGTGAGATTATTTATGATAATCTCACATGCGAGATTATCACTTTTATCAGTGCTCGAAATCTCTTTCAAAAACTCATTAATAATTCAGGAGCAAAACACAAAGAAAAACCATAAGCGTGTCGTGGTTTTATATGTGATAAAAAATCACGTTAATTTACATAAACTTCAGCTTTGATTTTCTCGGTTTAGACAAAGTTTATTTTAAATAATTACTTCGTCAATGAACTCGTAAAAGATCAGTCGTTTTTGAAGCCATTTAAAGCACTTGTAGTCGTGTTTTAAATAGTACTTCGAGCACTGACAAAACTGATAATCTCACATGTGAGATTATTTATGATAATTTCACACGTGAAAATTATCGCTTTTCAATTATCGCTTTTCTGTAAAAATTATCGCTTTTCAAAGACTGCCCTTTACATAATAAACAGAAAAATACATGGGTGCTTGGAAATATCAGATTTATTTCTCGTGTTGAAGAAATAAATGCAGTATTTCCGCGGACCATGCATTATTCTCTATTTAAAGCGTAACATCTCAATGACGAAAACGAGGCTCTATAGGTAAGGTGACGTGCTTTCCGGAAGCGTGTATTGGGAGTTGAAAGAAGGGCGGTGTCTTCTCTTACAGCCCTTTACCATGGTATATATGTTGATTAAAGACTTCAGACTACGTTCACACTACGCCGCGCGGAGCGTTTCGAAAACGGCGCAAGAAAAGTCAGAATTAGCGGTCGTGTTCACGCTACACTTGTTCACACTAGACTACAAAACGTCATTTTTTGAAATTGTTTGCAAACATCATTTTTTATTGAGCACGGTTTCTAATTAAAACTATAATTAAAACGGAGCGCTTAGAGGCTTCGTGTGAACACAAATGGCGTTTCTTTTTTTGGCCAGTAACTCCAGATGAAGGGCATTCGCTCGAAACGTCGAAATTCTCGTTATACTTTTCAGATAGTCGAACCACTACCAACGAAAGCTGTTACTCTTTTGTACCGCTCGCATCTCATGCAGGTTTCAAAACAGTAAAGTCGAATGCCTTTCGTTGCTTTGCTCTATTTCAAATTAAATGCATGGGTTAACCAAGACTACGTGCGATCACACAGGAAAGAACACATAATTATTATTATAGAATGTTTTAAGAGGATGTACATTGAGACGTCCTAACGGACGCCTGGAGTCGAAATAAAATCGAAAAAAGTCCGACCAAATAATTATGAACATTTTCGACCAAATTCCATTTTCATCGGACATCTTTTCCGGATAATTTTTGAACATTATTTCAAGCTCTGTATAAAAATAAACAACATGCAAAGATTTGCCCATCCTGCCCGATAACATACCTGACGCAGACACGAAGAACAAGACGCCAGATTGTTGCGAGGTGGCAGTCTTTATGACATCAAGGAATATTAGATATACTAAAATTCTTCGATACTGTTTACCAGGTGGATACATGGACGATGTAGAATTGATTTCAAGCGTTTCAAACTTCTCAATGTCACGACGCCTCTAAATCAAAAATATGTTTTAATTTATGTAAAGTCATATCACTTTTCCGCCCCCATGTCGACTATCAAATTAAATTAATAACAATTTCTTCATGTCTCAAACAAGAATTAATCCTGGTTTGGAGTTTAAACCATATAGATTGTTAATAGGCAATCCCAGCTTTTAATTTAAGTGCGCAGGGGATGACGGGAAGTAAGGTATCATATTGCAAATTATGCTGAAAATTTCAATAAAAACAGCCGAGACAACCAAAATATTTCAATATTTACAAGTATAAGCTATCACTCCGTGTTTACACGGCCGCTATCTTTACTTTTTCAGCATAATCAGCAATATGATACCTTACTTTCTAGAGGTGTGCATCGCTTCGGATTGAACGTTTATAATCCGACAATTGGCTAAAGTTTAAAATCCAATCCGATCCGAAATTGTCTAATCCGAATCCAATCCGAGTTTTGATAAAGAATTCCGATCCGATCCGCAGAGTTCTTTAATAAAATAAATTTCTCATTCAAGTGGAAATATTTAATCAAATAAATATAAAAGCAAGAAATAAATGTCAAAAAGCTGACAAAGTGACGTCCATGAATTGAAGTATCAAACGAATAATGCAGCGACAACCGTGATAATGCTTTGATAAATGCATGGATAATTCAATTCATTTTAATAGATAAAATGAATAAAAATAAAATAAAATGAATAATAATTTTTCATGGATAATTCATTCATTTCAAAGAACTTAATTCATTTTATTTCGAATATCGAAGTCCGATCCGATTTTGAAACAACTTTATCAATCCGATCCAAAATGAATATTTTTGTTCCGGCGAACGAATCTGATCGAATTTGCACACCTCTATCATTTCCGATCTCCCCCTGCAAGCATGAACTAAAAGCTGGAATGGCCGATTAAGGTTTGTGATATTTTTCTCAGAATAGTCATTGCTAGTAAAATTATATTATAAGTTTGTATGGCCGTTTTTATACTAGAGACGCATTATGCGTCTGGACGAACTTGGGCAAGCATTTGTTGTTCGTCTGGTTTTTAAGACGGGCACAAGACGCATTATGCGTCTAGAAGAACTATGTTCGATTCTTCGTCTTAAGAGACGCACAACCGATGATAGTTCGTCTAGACGCATGTGCCCGCCTTTATACTGAGGACGCATAACTAGACGAACAATAAATGCTGATAGTTCGTCGGATTATTCGTCCCGTCTTTATAGGCTACTAGACGAATAATATCGAAGAAGGATTATGCGTCCAGACGCATAATGCGTATCTAGTATAAAAACGGCCTATGTAATAACCATTGCATTATAATATAATACTTACATTTTTAATGAATGTCTTTTTGCGTTGTCGATTCGTTTTGCCGACGAATTATCACTGCATAAAAAAATTACTACTTTATAGAGAAATAATTTTTCTTCTGTTGAGTCGCTGACGATACGATTTGCAGAAAAATGTTTATTGCAGTGGGTAAATAATTATGAACTAAATTGCAGCGTAGCTTTAACTCAAATGCCTATTACTCATTAGCCATAATTAAACACATAAATAATTAATAAATGAATAAAAACAACATATTTCGGCACGCCAACGGAATAATGAGGTGATTATAGAAGAAGCAAATGTATTAATCACAAATTGTTGTAGCAAAAACTCAGAACTAGACATCGAAGGGAAAATATGTATACGAAATAGCGACTGATAACGACAAAATATCCATAATACGGATACATGATCGTTGAGTGACGTTTGAAAGCTTTCTAAAATAATATTTAAACAGGAATTCAATATCTGCATGTCTTCAATAGCATTGAATAATTTACGATCGAACATTAATTTTTTGTTTCAAGTAATCAAGTGTAATAACCTGCAGCAGGTGCGTTTATATCAAAAGGATTTTGAAATTACCGCAGTTTATTTTTAGCAGTTTCCCTAACCTGCGATCAGGCGGGCGAAGAAAAATGAGGGCCTGATACAGATGTTATAAGTTTGTGTCCTCTACAACCGCATGTACAATCTCGTACCCAGAGCATGCCTGTTCGCAGGTTAGGGTTGGGCATGGCTCTGGAGAAATCGAATTGTTCAAGTTGCATTTCCAACGTGAGTTGTACGCATGCTTGGCAATTGTTGCAAAATATAAACAAAGTATTTAGAATTCCCCGGCGACAATTTGGTACTTTTTTTTTAAATCAATTTAAAACAACTAAAAATTCTGGGGTAAATATGTACGAAAGCTTCGGATTGATAGGGATCATACATCTTACTTGACCTTTAGGGACTGGTCATAAAGTATCTGCTAGGGTGGGCTGGGCGTAAATCACAAATTTTGCCAATAAGTTTGGTGACCCATCTTAGGATCTAGATAAAAAATTCAAAGCCCATCTAATCTTACAAAAAAATTTCCATGACCCACCCAATCTAAATTAGGAAAATACATTTTTACAATAAAAAAAACTTACAGGTATGAACATTGTAAATATACACCGGCACTGTATTGACATACGTAATTCCACCAAGCTTGACCAACATATTCATCATGCACCAATTACGATACTGAGCTGCTCTCCAGTTGGTTGTATTTGCTGTGATTCGACCACTTCTTGTTCTTGTATAAACAAATAGCGTTTGTAAAATAAAGCCTGAGGCTATATGGCCTATACCTTATAAACGTCAATCTTAACCTTTACAATCGAAACCCGATTCCCCCAGTCTACATAAACAACAAGTGAGCGTCAACTGCTGCTGCTCTCCTCGCTCTAGGGACAACATCTTCCTTTCACTTCTTCCCACACCATCCACATTTTCTTCAACATTACAATCTATTTCAAACTGATACATTTTCCTACAGTATCCCATCCAATCTCGTACCCAGAGCTACTCAACGACGGCTCTGGCTACGAGATTGTATCTCATCTATACAAAGTTACTGGTTTTCATTTGCAATCTCATTAATCTCACAGTCGCTCCTCTCATTTTCTTATCATGACCTACCACGGTGGGCATAAAAGACAGCGAATTTGGCCAAGTACATATAACTTTCTCGCGTTAGTTTGGAATGTCACGAAACTCCCTCTCACAGGATAGAACTTAACATTCCTAAAAATCGTATGTTTTTTGTTTTTCGATTTTGTTACATTTTGGCGGGAAAATGATGTGCCAACTTTGGCGCCAAAAAATTAAACACGAGCTAAGAACATGCTCGTAATTTTTTCGAAAAGATTGTCCTATAAGGATCTCAAAACTGTAAAAACATTAAAAATACAACAAGGCAGTGCGAAGATATGGCGATTCAAACTTATATTTTTACTGAAAAATCAGCAATTTTGTTACTAAAAATAGATTTTTTCGAATTTTGAATCGCCATATCTTCGCACTGTCTTGTTGTATTTTTAATATTTATACAATTTTGAGATCCTTATAGGACAATCTTTTCGAAAAAGTTACTAGCATGTTCTTAGCTCGTGTTTATTTTTTTGGCGCCAAAGTAGGCACGTCATTTTCCCGCCAAAATGTAACAAAATCGAAAAACAAAAAAGATACGATTTTTAGGAATGTTAAGTTCTATCCTGTGAGGGAGTTTCGTGATATTCCAAACTAACGAGAGAAAGTTATATGTACTTGGCCAAATTCACTGTCTTTTATGCCCACCGTGTACAATCAGTTTGAAAATACCTTTTAAAATATGATTGCAGTATTTGATTAACAGCATATTAAAAAGGTACCAACACCAGCCTCGTACCAAGGCTCTTTAGTAATAAATAGCGGCTTCAGAGTTCCGGGCGAGCTTTCAGGCGCGCAGGAATTCTCGCCCAGAGCTCTGAAGCCGCAATTATTACTAAAGAGCCTAGGTACGAGGCTGTAACATTGAACTATATAACCTGGAAGGCTTACTCGAGCTCAAAAAGTGAAGCCAAACATGGCGGAAATTGAAGGCATTCTTGCGCGTCATTCTCAGTCCTCTTACGTGCGCGGTCAACAAAACTTTTATATTTTTCTTTACTTTCCGAGTAAAAATCTGGTAAAAAAACAGACGAAATTTGAATGAAAAGTTGAATTCTGGTGTTTTGTTTGGGTTTGGTTCTAAATTTTAATTATTATTTATTTAAAAGATGCGATATTTGAGTGAAAAGAAAACAAAATAGCGCGAGATTGTTGTTTTTGTAAATGACAAAGAGTGACAAAACAAAACACAAATATCACTCAATCTTTCAAAATATCTGTATTGCCCCTATTGACAAGGATTTCACACACATAAATAACTCATTAAAATAAACAGTTTAAGTTTATAAGGCAATCATCAAAGTGATTTTATTAAATAAAAAATAAAAAAACAAAAGTTTCTTACATGTATGAAATTAAATTGGCTAAAAACTGCCTCGAAAACTGCAGTTTAAAAGCAGTTTTAGGTCAGGAAAACGGACTAAAATAAGCTAAATAATCGTGTGAAAACTGAAAAGCACCATAAAAACAAGAAAGCGAAACAACCAAAGCAAAAATAAATTCCCAATTTATAAAAATACAGATTTATTCAAAAAAAACAAAAAGTTTGAAATTAGTTGTTGAATTCGCAACGAAAAATACAGATTTACTCACACATACAGTGGGAAAATGCAGTAGACAGATCGATTAGATGAAGGCAAATAAAGAAAAACACAACCCGAGAGTCGCGGACCCATCACTTCCCGCCATGAAAATACAAAAAATGTTTGGCCGCGCGGGTAAGGAGACTGAGAATGACGCGCAAGAATGCCTTCAAAATCCGCCATCTTTGGCTTCACTTTTTGATTACGTCAATGACTGAAGTCAGCCTTCCATGTATATAGTTCACTGGGCTGTAACAACACCATTGCTAGACCACAGTGATTTGCTATTCCAAGATGGCGTCAATACTATTAAAACGGCCAATTCCTGCAAATTCATTTTCTGTTATCTGTTTTTATAGGATAAGTAAATGCATGGGATATGCAAAGTAAAATACGCAATTCAGCAATGTTTGCAACGCAATTTGTTAACAAAACTAACATATACATAATCATTATATATTAACAAATTAATATCATTTAAAATATTTTTATACCCAATAGTACTCCTACAGTATGTTGAAGTTTGGCGGTACTAATCTGTAAATGTTTGATTGCATTTCAAAATGTTCACCAGACGCAACGAATGTCAATTTTTATCTGGTTCATCACGCAACTTAATATTGTTACGCCTGCTCTATTCTTTCCATGTCGCGGAAAGACTTAATTTAACAAAACTTTTTTAATTTAATCATTACAAAGTGTATGAATACTTATCATCTAGAAGTCAGATAATTTTTACAGAAACCGTTTATAGAGACGCATTGTCTGACAAGTCCTGCAAAACTTGGCTTGTCTTCTCTAATGTCTTAAACCTGGATCAAACGAGGATAAGAGAGTACGAGAGTTGGCAATCACGCGACCTTGGCTATCTGTCTTGCCAATGCTTTTCCCAACACTATCATGTATTCTATTTAAGTAAAAGCATATATACATTAACAAGACGCCTGCTCAGGCGTTCACACTGGCCTTATACTAATACCCAGGTAATATGCTGCAAACATTCGAGTATGTTAGGTTTAAAAATTCAAAGAAAACTACATCAATATATAGTAAACAAACCGAAGGCCCCCAAGTCACAAACGTTTAAGGATTTTAAAACGTCCGTGGACAGGCTATAGGGTTCAACTAATATGCAGGTAATATACCAGAAACATTTGAGTATGCTAAGTTTCAAAATTCAAAGAACACTATATCAACAGTAATAAACAAACAAGACAAAAAATCCTATCTCATAGTTCCGCTCCTTACCTGGCGGCCATTTTGACTTGAGCCTGCGATCCATTACAGGTCAGTGGTTCACTTCATGAACGTAGGTCGATTTCACGTTGACGAAAAAAACGAATAATTTTTGCACAGAAAATTAGGGAACCTAAACACTGAGCCTTACGGTCAGTGTAATTAATTGGAACACTTATCATGATCAAACCATTATTTTGTTAATCTAGAGCTTCAAATGTCGCCAGAAACAATACCTGGCTGCCAACTCTCAGCAACTCTCATCATCGTTTGACCGTGACTTAAAGGTTGGACATGGATAGACAAATAAAATATACTTGAGAATATACTCATCATGAATATACTCATCTCATTTTAGTCAACGTCTTGCTCTCTTTCGTCTTGGCCGAGTGGATTTGGCTGTCTCAACCTGCCTAACTGGTTCAGGTTCGGATTGCGAGTTGACGTCACCACTACTTTCTATAATGTATGCAAACATTTGTAAGTGAACAGACTCTACCGTTTATTGGGCAAATACCAAACCTTTTGGACACCTCACTCGATTGAACCAATGTGGATGGGTTTTGTAGATGGAAATTTGAGTGCCAATTTTAGACAAAACTCTTCGTCCTGCCGTTTATTGCACGCAGGCAGGCGCACATTAACTGGAAATAATTCCATCTCCTATATACACCAATGATGGGAAATGATGCTGAATGATGTTAAGTGATGTTGAGTGCTACTGAATGATGTTGAATGATACTGAATAATGGTAAGTGATGATGAATGATGGTAAATGATGGTGAATGATGTGAATGATATTAAACAAGACGCCGACTCGGCGTTAACCTCGGGTCGGTGGATAGGGGATCGTCTGGTAAATATCCAAAAATTGTGTAAATCACGATAGTTTAATAGTTCACTAGTATAAATGGTGAATCAGTTAATCAAAGCTCCGTTTTAATATTTTATTGACAATAATTACTGGCCCTCATCAAACCTATTGTTTTCTCTCTGCATTATATCAGCGAATGTCGAGAAGTTTTCATTTAACGTTCTACTGAAAAACGGGAGCGGCCTTTTTGGTTGTATAGGGAAATTCCGGCTCAGGGGTAAATGTTTATACGCGTCATATTCTATGTCCGCGTTAAAATAGCACACAACATTATTAAAAATAATGCAGCGTGCATCAGTGCACACAGACATTATTAGCAATAATGCATCTTCGTCACCCTGACATGTACACGCGATAACGTGAACATCCCAAGATGAGAAGGTGACAGTGCTAAAGGCCCCCCATACGGTGTCGTCGGGTGCCTGAAGCACTGTTGGAAACGGTCGCTATGAGTCTTTTCAGTTCAATTTTATAGAGAAATAGTTTCGTTTGCGCTTGTGGGATTTTATCCTAGATATACGCATGTGCAGAATACACCATAAGTTCTATTCCCGTGTTTATCCAATACGCTATTTGAGTAAACCTTATCATTAATGATAATATGTAAACTAGAACACTATAATTGACCTCCGCTTGTGGAGATTTTAATTTAGGGCGATTAATTAAACTGAAATCTGTTCTATCACAATGCACTACAGTGCCTATGGTTATGTCTATATGCATGTCCTCACAAATGTCTAGTGTAACGTTGGATAGGTTCATTGTCATACGGTCCCGACAAGCAGCAACGTACGGTAGTCTTCCAGCCGAAAATAATTACTTTTGATTCGGGTCAGTAATTATAATAGATAACAAGTGAAAGTTGGCCGCGGTATTCCCATGCTATGCATACGATGTATTGTACATTATATCAACATATACTCGAGAATAGTTGTCCAGCTAAACATGTATGTCAAAATTATCACATCTTCTGGTTTTAAATCAACAATTCTGACGGATTTTGTGCAAGGACAGCTTCGGGTTCCGTTTCGCTTTGGCCGATGCTTGCCGGAAGTACACTTATTTACCGGAAGTTGTCGTCTTCTCCGCAGGCCCTTCGATCTTCGACTACGCGCGCGGCTCGACACAAATGGAAAAAAACCCAAAAAAAACCCAAAAAAACCCAAAAAAAACAAGAAAAAAAAAAAAAAATAGGAGCCAAATTTAAGACCTCGGTGTCGTACCGACCCGAGGTAATTATGGGGAATGATGTAGGATGATGGTGAATGATATTGAATGATGGTAAT